CAGAGACAGATAATTATTTTAGATACCAAAGCAGGTTAATGATCATCCTTACTGGAAACTGACCTGTGCCCAAAACAATGTCTGCTATATACATTGTAAAAGCATACAATTTCCCCACAGACCCAAGGTTGGGAACCATTGATACAGAGGAAACTGGAAGACTTGTACTGACCACTAATGTACCGGTGCTAGGCAGTGTTGAATACTTTAGTCATCAGAATAGCAAGGACTATGATATTGTGCACACACATCACAATCTTCCTTTTTTCCCTCTCAGCTTAGCCAGAATCCACAGGGGAGCTGGGAAAGAAACTGATTTTCCCAGGAACACTACATTATTGCCACTATTCCTGTCGTAACAGAAAGTATTTGAAGGTATGTAGGTCTTGCATAGGCAATTAAAAGGCATTAGCTTTACAAAACACCTGCTTCTCTTTTGTTATAGCTATGGTTTGGATCATCAAGTCTGCATTTTGGTCTCTCCTTGTGGTAGGAGTGACAAGGGAATTGTCATAAGGAGCCTCTGCACTTCCAAATTTCCCATTACAACACTGCTGCTGACAAGATATAAGACACACCCAACAGATACTCTGCACAACAACATGTGACTAAGGCTATGGTCAGATTCCTACATGCTGGCAGAGCAGCCCCTTTTGAAAGATTTCTGAGCAGGCAACAGATCCAAATCTTTACAGAAGAAAGATCAGGGAGACAATATACTGTAGATCAAGTGGCTGAAACCAGCTTATCATCGCTAAGGAGGAGCAAAATCAACTAGTTTAATTTATTAATAGGATCTGAAAGGATAGGTGTGCCAATTCTTTGGAGGGGATTGTATTAGAAATGGGCATGAACTGCATTGTATGCCTTGTGATTCATTCCATCCCTGTGACTCAGTCTGATATCTTTGTTTGAAACATTTCATTTTGGGTTGGCTTTATCATATTAAATTTTATGAGCAGGTGCAGCTTATTAAAGATTGAAGATGTGTACCTTCTTGCCAAAACCTGAAGATATGTGTGTTGCATTACCAAGATGTCAATTAAATGGTATAATCTAGATAATGCTTGTTTCAGACCTTGGAGAACTGAGATAAAATCCCTAATTAATTAATTAATTCAAGCATCATGCCACTATATCATAGAAGTAGAAAATCCATATTTTCCAGATATTTAGGACCAGCAACAGCCCTAGCCAGAATCAAGATTTCTGGAGGCTGTAACCAAAAACATTTGGAAGGCACTGGGATGCCCACCCCAGCTACAGAAATTTAGCTACATGGCCCTATAGGTCATACAGACTATCGTCTTGTCTCCATACCTATTTTGGAACCAGCTAAAGAATGCTAAAGAGGGTCTCTGGGAGGTCTGATATGCCATTTGGTATGATCTTCACATCCAAATGGAATGCGGAGCTGAAGCAGCCCTATGTGGTTCCCCTGCTCACCTGCAGAATGAGACAGGACAACAAGGGGGATTTTCTCTTAAAGGGCAATCCAAGAAAAGCAAGTAAAAATCCCTCCTATCTCTTGCTGCAGCCCCTGCTCTGCTTACCCTCTTTAGTAAGCCAAAGCAAGTAGATGTGTGCACAAGTGTGCACAAAGAGGGTTCAGCTTTCCAAAGGCCACCTCCCCACTCTGCCTTTGGAAATCCTTACTTTTACCGCCAATGCTGCTCCATTTGCACCCTTTAAAAAGTGAGGCCAAGCTACAAACATACACAGAGATAGACACACACACACAGTGAGGTATACACCCACTCACCCACCTACAAACAAGAGGATTTGGATTTCCAATGGCAGCCTCAGCCTGCTGACTTTGGAAATTAAACACTTGCATGGAGCCTAAGAAGAGTTTAACTTGTCTATATTGTGAAACGGCTCTCTTATTAACCCACTTCAGTATATTCGCAAATTGAAAGAGGAAGCTTCCTTTGACCCATTCCCACTAATCGCATCTGGGGAAGTCAAACCAAAGTAGAGTGATCCTACCCACACCAGAAAAGTAGAACGCCCTTGACAGGGACCAGAAGGGTGCAGGGAGGAACACTCTGGGTATGGACGGTTTCGTTTTAGCAAAGATGTGGTCAGAACGCCATCTTTAAGAGCCCACCATCCTTGCCCTGCAGTGGTCCAAACAGTGTGTGAAAGGCCCATCTGATTGAGCTCTGAGGCTCACTCCCACACATTTGTGTGTAGGACTGCAGCCTTGAAATGGGCTTGTCGCAAGCCTTTTACCAAAGGACAACCTACTGAGTGGTCAGTGGCATTGTTTAGAAGCAGGATGGCAGCCACATAAATTACAGCCTTTCCCTGAGAAGGAGAACAAGCTCCTCAGAGTAATTTGTATGCAACAATAAAGCAGACAAATGATTGGGCCGGTGCTGAGCCAATGCTTTAGCAGCATGGTTCACCTTTGCCTCCCTCCCCAGATGATGTGGGATTCTTAGTCTCTCGAGAACAGCCGGGGAGGGGGGGAGAGTCAGGTTATTTAAAGACATCCCCCCTCTCCCCACCCTCTTCCTTTTCTGGCACCAATGAAGGAGAGAGTTCCGCTAAGCTGCGCTGTTGCAAACTGCGTCATCATTTGGAGGCCTGTGAAGACATCGCTCGGGAGTCTAGGGGAGCTAGCATCAGCTACCCCCTGTGGTTTGATTAATAATTTCATTTGATTTACTCAGCTAATTTTTGTACCTTCCCATAATCTCTGTGTGAATTTAATGTATATTAATTGATTAAGTTTAAATAAAAAAATTATTTATGGGGATCTAGTACTGCAAAAGGGGGGATCGCGACCACGCGGCTTGCGCGGGTCGCGCCTCGGTGTGATCAAAGTTTGCCAGTAGCTTTAAGGAGGTAAATACAAGAGACTTACTTCAGCCAAAGGACCAGTGTCGAGAACGCCTCATTTGATTGGCACTCCATTAACCCAGAGCTTCTGAGGGTCAGGTAAGCAGGAGGTGGCCGAGGTGCACCGCGCCCTCTCAGATCCGCAGCAGTTTATTTGGAGGATTCACACCAGCTCAGGGTGCGTGTGGCGCAGCTGTTAGGTCCAATGGTTGTTGGCGCTTCCATCTCCCCCCCCCCACTGCACCATTCTGCTTACTCCAGGGATCAGAGTTTCTAACATCTGGGTGGTGCTTCATGCGAATAGCGCCACCGGTGTGGGAGATCATGGAACAAAGAAAGGCTAATTGCCTTAGAGAAAGAACAAAGGAGTTGACAACTGATGTCCAAGGCAGCGGAACCCACAGACAACGGCCTGAGAGCTCTTTTATTTACTTAGCATGATTTACATAGTATGTTGTGTGTGAGAGAGATAGGATACTGATAGGACCAACAGTTAACAAGGAGAAGCTGGCTTGAGGTCCGTGGGTGGTCAAATTGCGGCCAGCCGGGTTCTTGCTGTCTTTTAAGACCGCAAGAACTTGGGGCCAGGGAGTCGCTCATTTGTTGCTTAAGGGGGCTTTTGAGACCCCTACAGTTTAACCTGATTCCCCACTACGGCAGGCCCTCCTTTGCCAAAGGATGGCAACATTGATTATGACTAATAAAGTGTGGTCCGTGTTTTAATCCATAATTCTTGTCTCGCGTCTTTATTCCTGGGTTGGGAGGGCAATGTGCTGTGTTTTAAACAGTTCTATTGATCTAGATCCAGGCAAGGAAGCCTGTGCCCTTCCAAATGTTGTAAAAGTATGAGTCCCACCCCTCCTGCCTGTCAGTTATACTGTCTGAGGCCGATGGAAAATTAACTCCAGTAGCACCCGAAGGGGCACAGTTTTCCCTCTCCTGATCTGGAAGCTAGTTCTGAAAAATCACATATGGAATTCACCACAGAAAAGAGGAGTGTTTTACATTTGGATGCGTTTTTTTTTCTTCAATTCTACACTCTGTAAGACAATCATCTTCTTGTGGGAGTTCTTAAATAAACTCTTCAAAGAAATATTTTATTAAGCCCTTTCTTCTAGCAATTAATCTGTGGCAACTCAGTTGTAATACGTATCCTGCCTTATCACCAGAAATATTTCTTGACTCTCACTCGAGTTTTGTTGATTCTTACTAACCTGGCAAATCTAATTAATTTTGCAATCGGCATTTTGTTAAGCAGATGCCAGATTTGAACATATTTTTAGCTTAATGAACCTGCTCCAGCCAGACGAAATAGCTGTAATGAAAGCTCGGCTATTATCAAAGCTAGACTTCCAAGTGATCCATCCAAATTAGTAGCTTTATATTTTTTTAAGGATATCAAAGCATTTTCAAAGCACTACTGGGACAGTTCTTACTAAGATGAATAAAAATGGTACTGAAAGTTCAGTGTATCTGACTGAAATAAAGAAATTCACATGGGGTTGAAAATGACCTTGTTTCATGAGCTTCTCTGCCCCATTCTGCTTTGAAGACTTTAAGTGTCTGCTTTAAAATATTTGGGTTGGGGAGTTGTCATTTAGCTTTACAAGCTTTACAAACACCTCAGCCCTATGAAGTAATGTAACAAAGTAACTTTTTCAAGCCCTAATCCAGACAGCAACAAGTATTTTCAGAGCTGATTGATTTTAATGGGACAGAATGGTACTCTCTCGCCCTGAATTCAACGGAGTTTAAGCATCCTTTATTTCGTCTTCCTTGTATATATAGCTGTGAGTGAAATACTAAAGTTGAAAGAAGTGAGGAGTCTTTTTCTGTGTCAGATACCATTCCACATTTATGTTATTTATTATATGAAGAATATTTGAACCCAGTTTGCTAATGATGCAAAACAGGAAAGGATGGCAAGAAGTAAGAAAAACAAAGCTCAAAGTGACCTCAATAAATTAGAGTAATAGGCTGGGAACTCGAAAGTGGACATATGTAAGGGATCACACAAAGCTAATGCATACTCTAAAATGGGGAATTAGGTCTGTAAAGCAGCTAGAAGCTATAATGGATCAGAAGCTGAACAAAAGAGCACCATGGTGCTGCAAAAATAAAGGAGGGGTGATGCCATCTCACAGTGAACTGACCTGAATTTTATGTTTCACAATGATGATGATGGTGGTGGTGGTGATGATGATGATGATGATGTGGTGCTGTCAAGTCAATTCTGACTTCCCAGGGTCTTCTAGGTAAGAAATACACAGAAGTAGTACACCATTTCATTCTTGGGGGGGTGGAGTCTTGGGGCCGTGCAACTTGCCCAAAGCAACACAGGCTGGCTTTTCTCCCAGAGGGCACAATGGAGAATCAAACTCTCCACCTCTGACTCAACACTGAGCATTGGACAGGCATTTCCATTCTGATCACATGTTAATGAAATGAGTGTTCAGAAAAGGGTGAAAACAATGGATAAGGGAGAAACCACTGGATACCAATCTGGGTGAGTTACCAGCAAGGTGTTGGAATGCCTGAGGTTGGTACTGAGAAAGTGAAAAATTAAGAACATTGTTCTGATCACTATGTCCTGCCATTGCCCCACTAAGAGGCTTCGGGCAGTGTAGGATTAATCGTTGTTGTTGTTTTTCCTTTCAAAGTGTCTTGTGTGCCACAAACCAGGCAGCATGTTCTGTCTTGTGGCCATAATACTGCATTCTAAGCACTAAGACACACAAAAGCTGCAGTTCTTGCTTCACAGCTAGGCTTTACTTCGACGGCCATGTTGGTACCATCATAGCATGAGGTCAGATCACCTTCTCACTGAGGTACTTGGTGGGCTTTTTCTCGCGAAATGTATCATCCTGGGCAGTTCTCCAAATCTTTCCATACAATCATTTCTCAATGGAATTTCCTGCTACCTCAGCAACGTTTCATGGCTTCCCATGAAAATGAGAAGCCATGTATTGTTCGTTAGTTTTTCAGCTGTTTTTTGTGGAAGAAACTGCCAAATTCTGTACAGCTTAAAGCCCTTTCATGGGAATCTAGTACAGGAAAGCTACTGTTCCATACAGGAATTGTAGTAATTCTGCAGAGATTGGTGTTTCCTCTGGGAGAAAGGATTTTTATAATGATAAAGAAATTCCACATGATTTTTCAGGTGGGAAAAAAATCTCATGCAGCAAAATATTGCTGCAAGAGGGAAAGAAGAATATGTTTCTCACTAAGAGCAAGGGGCTGCAAAATTCATACTCCTAGTTTTAGCCTCCTTGGTTAGAGATTTTTTTAAAATTATTTTGACAGTAATGTTTGGGCCTAATGAGAGGTTCTGATCTTATGGGCCACCAGTGGTCTACAGGAGATAAACATATGCTGGTCTTTCACAACTATGTTGTTGTCTGCTTTATTTCCTGGGCAAATTTGAAGGAGCATGGGTGGCTTTTGCAGCCTTGATTGTGCTAGCAGAGGAATCAGTCAAGAAATGCAAAAATACAGTGTAGAGAGTTTGGGGTTTTTATCTGGCTCATCCGGACATTGCATAGAGCCACAAGGAGCTATTTAAAGGTGACAAAGTTCATCTATGGTGTCTCTAGGTGCCTGGGGGGCCATTCTATAGCCAAATAAATTGATAATCAAAGATATTCATCAATTCTATTTGTTGAGGCATTGATTCATATGAATATGAATTAATAAATGAGTGATTTTTGAATGAATTTGCTGATTCGTTTTTTAATTCATGCCCATCTCTAGTCATTTTCTGTTAAACAAAGATTTGCAACCTTTCCCCACCATCATATCTCTTCTCTCTTGAATCCAAAAGAAGCTACACCACCCAAGAAGGACACTCCCGTCATCAGCTTATACCTCTAAGGGTGACAATAATTAAGTTGTTTTTTAAAAGTCTCTCCAAATTTAGTGCCGCTTTAGCTAAATGATTCAGCACTACCTCTGGGAATCTTCAGCAGCCATCTTTGCTTCCAGTCTGTTGAGTGTGCAGCCTTCCCATAGCAACTGCTGGGACTCTACCCAAAGAAACTCATCTTCTTCCAGTGTTGTGGCTTTTAAAAAAATCAGACACAGTGAATGAAAGTTAGTTAGAAAGCAGGAGATCAGTGATGGAGAGAAGACACCCCTTCTCTCCCTCTCCTTCCCTTAACATTTCCCTCTGCTGTCCAGTGAATAAGCCTTATCCCTTATTTAAATTAAATTCAAATGGAATACGTCTTAAAGGTCTGGGGTGGGTGCAGACAAAGAGGCAAGCCAATGAAACAAAAGAGGGAGGAATATCTTGCCTGGGCTCAGATACTATTTCACTCCTGGCTGGGGAATGGGTGAAACTGCATAAAGGGGGCAGGGAAGAAGGTGGTAACAGGGTTAATGGGTAATAGGAGACATACATGAGAAATGTTGCTAATTTCAGCTTTACGTGTGGATAATCGACACACCAATTCCTGTGGTAAATAAACATTTGCATGTAAACAATATCAGCAAATACAACAGGTTCAAGCTGCATAGGAACTGTGCATAAACTTGGGATATATGTATCTTTCTGCCTGATCCTGGTATGAAACTTGTCTGGTTCAATAATACATATTGGGCGGGGGAGCTATTCTCCCATTTTACACAAACTGATGCCATTGTCACAGCATCTAACATCTGTCATGGCCAGTTTTCTATTGATTCCTTTTCACTTCCTATTTCAAACAGTTATCTACCAGAAACCATTTTATAACAGGCTTTTTGAATGGGCAGAAACCTGAAGAAAGAAAGAGAAAAAGAGAATTGTTCGATGGACAGATCTATATCTGAATTGAGAGTATTATATTGCCAGCACACCTGAGAGAAAGAGACAGTGCTTCCTCGTTTTATTGCATTTTACTAAATGAAGAAAAACATTTGAAGCACAATCCAACAAGAAGTTCCACATCAGTCTCTCTGAGCTGTGCAAAAGCACTTAACATCACTTCATGGATCTAGCGTTTAGCTAGATCAGTTGATAATGTACATATAGATAGATACAGACCTACAGAAATGCTATATTCTGGAACACAATACTGTATTTGGTAAACCAGATGAAAAGAAAGCTTCCTGATGAGATGTACCCGAAGAGTAGAGCTATCCAGAAACCATTTCAGACAGAATGCTTAGTTCCAACACAGAATGGCATATGATGTCTCACGTCACTAAACAAATGTAACTGTAAATGCAAATGAGAATTTTATGGCATGATCTAGACCGGAGATGTGTGCTGCCTTTGGGGAAGAAGTGTCAAAATGGAGTGAGGTTGTGATATTTGTTCTTTATTGGCGCAGATAGAGGGTGATTCAAGAACCCACAGCCATGCTCAGCTCGGTTAGAACACCGCTAGAAATAATGGAAATTTGTTCCAGTGTTTTGGGGCTTTTAAATGCTAATATTTGAACAAAAAAATACTTGGTGCCAGTTGCTATAGCAAAAGAAGGAAGTACCAGAGTACTTGAAATATGGCATTGTCTCCAATTACTGAGCTTTGTTACACACCTAGGAATGGCAAGGATTGAACCTTGCTTCTTTGACTGACAGTATTCTACAATTGTCTTGCCACCACCATTTTCTGTTTTCTTTTAATTGTAAGGTTTGCGGCTGGGTTCTATTTGAAGAACTATTTTTCTCTTGTTGTAGGTGTCTGTGTCACTCCAGTTCTGGCTCATCTCCACCTGTTGCCCATGGTGTCCCAGATCAGGTTCAAGGTTTTGACACTCACATACAAAGCCCTCCACGGCATGTTGCTTGTCTGAGCATCACTCTTTAATATCATCTGCCCGACCCACAAGATCATCCCAGTTGAGGCTCCTCCTGGTGGCCACCCCAAGGGAGGCCCATAAATCCTCAACACGACCTACAGCCTTCTTTGTGGTGGCTCCAACTTTATGGAACCAGCTTCCGGAGGAGCTCCAACTAACCCTCCCATGGGCTTTCGGGAAGCAAGTAAAGACATTGCTTTTCAGGGAGGCTTTCCACACCAACCCCAGCTGACCACCTTCTCCCCTTTTTTCTTTCCCCTCTCTTCTTCCCTCTCCTCTTTTCCTCCATCTACTCTGAGATTTGTCAGTGCTATCTGTGTTTTTTAAGGGTTATTACTGTTTGCTGTTAGACATCCTTCAGTCTCAAGAGACTATGGTAATGTGCTCTGAATAGAGGACTTGGAACAGAGCCTAGTGTGGCTGAGAAGGCAAACTTGAGAGTGACAATCCCTTCCACACTGAAGACAAATACAATCTATCCCCTGTCCAGCTCCCTGATTTTCTGGTTTAAGGACTGCCTCTTTGCCTTGGCCTGCTGGACAAGTGTCTCTTCAAAATGGGAAAGGCCATGATGCACCACCTACCTCCAGGCTAAACAAAGTTTCCCATCTGCTCAGGTCCATTCCTAAGGCCTTCAGATCCCACTTGCAAATATCCTTGTATCGCAGCTGTGGGCTCCCTCTGGGGCGATTTCCCTGCACTAATTCTCCATATAGGAGATCTTTTGGAATCCGACCATCAGCCATTCTCATGACATGCCCGAGCCAACGTAGATGTCACTGTTTCAGTAATGTATACAGTGGTGCCTTAACTTACGAACTGAATCCGTTCCAGAAGATGGGATGTAACTCGAATTGGTCATAAGTCAAAGCACCATTTCCCATAGGAATGCACTGAAACCCCATTAATCCATTCCAGCTGGGAAAAAACCCCAAAAAGCAAAACAACACTGCAAGCCCCATTGGAACACGCTGGGGCCGATTAAAAAAAATCACCAAAAACCCCACAAAACAAAGCAAAAAGCGTGCTGCTTATATACCGCCCCATAGCGCTTCAAGCACTTTCTGGGCGGTTTACAAGTTAATTATGCAGGCAACACATTGCCCCCCCAGCGAGCTGTGTACTCATTTTACCGACCTCGACGGCTGCAAAAAACACACACACACACAAAAAGGATGTACTCACTCAGAAGCAGAAACCAAGGCAGTCTGAAGCCTCCCTGCAAACGCACACTCTCTAACCGTTGGGGCAAAAGAGCTGCAAAGCAGCAGCCTCTTCGCCACCGACAGTTAGCACTTTGAATTCCCTGCTTTTCTCCCTGCCTTTATTCCAGTCGGAACTCGAAACTCCAGTCGCAAGTTCAAGCAAAATCGTGCGGCCGGAGCTGGTCGTAACACAAAATGGTTGTAAGTAGGGACCTTCATAAGTCGAGGCACCAATGTACATGCTACAAATTCCAGCTCGTTCTAGGACTACAGTACTCTGTTTGGAACTTTGTCCTGCCAGGTGATATCAAAAATGCATATGGAACATGTTCAACTTCCTCTCCTGCTGTGCACAGAGGGTCCAGGACCCCCTGCAGTACAGAAGTGTACTCCGAACACAGGCTCTATAGACCTGGATCTTGGTATATGCTGTCAGCTTCTTGTTAAGCCATACTCTCTTTGTGCGTCTAGAGAACATGTACCTGCTTTGCCAATGCATTTGTCCAGCTTGAGAAGAAGGAAAACTCCGATTTCAAACCCCCACTGCCTTGTGGCTATATCCACTGATAAAAAAGTATTCAGGAGTTAACCTCAAGGCAAAATCCAGAGCTGGGGTCCTAGAGGCAGCTCGTGCCATTCTGGCAACTCCTGTGGATCACTGGAACCAGTTGTACTGGCTCTTGTGTTTGCATTGGTCTATTTCAGTGACGTGGAGTGGGAGGATTTGCTGCTTGGGTAACAGCCTATCCTCCATATTATTTTACCCAGGCTTCGTGCTCTGCAGAGGACACTCCAGCTTTACATATAGCATTGAAATAACAAGAATAACAAGAAGTATCAGTTACTGGTTATAAGTCTTTGCTCGATTGGTGTAGAGCATGATGACAGGGGCTACTTCCAATGGTGGGAGAGGTCATTGCACCTCACTAGGTAGCTGCCACCCACTTTAAGCTGGGCAGCCCCCAGCCAGTAAGGTTTAGGGTGAAAGCCGACAAACAGATAGATAATCCTCCAACAATCATAAGAAAACTTCTGCCCTAAAGTTGGGCACCTGGAATGTTCGGAGAATGACCCCTGGCTTTTCTGACGAACTGCAGGAAATAGACGATGCATGCAAGACAGCTGTCATCGACATGGGTTATTGCTATTAGTTCTAATATTTCTTTTTTGGCTTTCCTATGGCCGATCTTTGCTAGACAACGACGATTCTTCCGCATTGGAACACATTAAACAGGTTTCAATGCATTCCAATGGGGGAAGGCTTTTCACTAGACAATCATTGTCTAGCGAGGCACCACTGTAGTTGGAACTATGCAGCCACCAGCACAGTGTGGTCCTAAGATCTAACTACCTTGACACACAATTATCCCCCTTCCACCTAATGTGATGTAGTAGACTGAGTGACAGATGTGCTCAGCCATAGAAACTTGTGCGTGAGAAAGAGAGAGAGAGAGAGAGAGAGAGAGAGAGAGGTAAAACCACTACATGACTATCTCAAATATCTTGAAATCCCGACTGGATTCCATCAAGTCATGTGTAACTTGATGGAATATAACAACAATAACAGTTTAAAAGGGAGCACACATATGTTGTATCATGTTTTCAGTAGAAAGACCTCTGCAAATAAGCAATTGGCATGATAGTTTTCACTGTTAGAAAGTGAGAGAGAGAGGTAAAACCACTACATGACTATCTCAAATATCTTGAAATCCCGACTGGATTCCATCAAGTCATGTGTAACTTGATGGAATATAACAACAATAACAGTTTAAAAGGGAGCACACATATGTTGTATCATGTTTTCAGTAGAAAGACCTCTGCAAATAAGCAATTGGCATGATAGTTTTCACTGTTAGAAAGTTTTTATGAAGGTTACATTCTAGATGAATAAAGAAGTAAAGGCCAGCAAAAACAGTGAGCCCTAAAATCATTAAAAGCCAAACTATTTCTGTTTTTGAATGAGTAGACAGAGGATGGGGAAAAGATTAGGATGTAGGGTTGTTACCATACTCTACTAGATATATCTGGCATGTGGTTATCCCACACAATGCAAACTTTCATCCCATTACATATAGCACAGGAGAAGAATTCTGACTGTGAATGCAGTGGGGACAAAAGGTTTAACCCCTCTTCTGCCCATGCCATTGCTTTGATCCAACTTTTTGCCTTTCACAGGAGAAGCAACTGTGGATGCTGACTGTGGAACAAATGTCTCATCTGCTTGGAAGACAGAGCAGGGAGTCTGGAGTCAAGGTGGTTGAAGGGAGGTCTTAGCGGATCACGCAGGGGACAGAGGGAAGGAAATCTCAAAGAAATGGTGAGAAGAGAAAAATAAAGCACACTCAAGGGAAGGGCAAAGATGTCCTTGTGAAGACTTTCCGCAATCCTTCAAGTCACAACTGTCATGGATTACATCACGAGCTAATGATATTCCATTAATTTCAAAAGGCTGAAAATATATACAGTGGTGCCTCGCTTAACGAGTGCCCCGTTTAACGAAAAAATCGCATAGCGATGGCTTTGTTGCCATCGCTTTTGAGATCGCACAACGATCTTGCCTATGGGGAAAAATCGCTTTGCGATTTTTCCCCATAGGCACCATTTTC